GGAAGGAATCCCCAGGGCCACCACCTCCTACCTCCTGCTATGCAGGAATCTCAGCTCCAGGGCAGATGTTCCGTCCAACCTCTGCTGAAGACCTCTGAGGAAGGAGAGCCCACCTTCCAGGGGTAGTCGTGTTTGGCTGCTTCAACGTGACGTGACTCTGGGCCTGATGCATGCAAAGAATTGCTGTCTTGGTTCTAGCTGTATTTTTACTGTAATGCTTCTGGGGTGGAGGCTGGGCCCCCCCGCCTGGCTTCAGCGGCAGGGAAAGGCGATGCTGAGTTGTTGCTTTCTTTGTTTGTCCTGAAGCCTCTCCCAGCAGGGACTAGTTTTGCTGCTATGTACTTAGACCAAATTTATTGTTGGAAATAAAAGTCTGACCGTCCTCCTTTGGTACCTGAACGTACTTTTCAGTTTGCCTTGTGTTTCAATTCTCTCCTCTCTGTTTGCCGTTAAAAAGCAAAGCAAAAGACCAGGGGGCCAAGATATCCTTGAAGCCAATACTCCGAGCAGAACTCCAAAAGTGGGTTTGTGAAGCGCACTGTTTCTCTCTCTGCCTTTAGGGGAAGGTAATTTGTCACACCAGCTTTCTGAACTAATTACCTTCCCAAAAGGCAGAGAGAGGAGTGCGCTTCACAAACCCACTTTTGGAGTTCTGCTTTTCAAAAGCAAAGGCTTTTCATTTAAGTCTCACAGTCCAGTTAAAGGCCTAAACTACTGCGCTGAGGGTTAAACCACAGAGCCTAGGGCTTGCCGATCAGAAGGTCGGCGGTTCGAATCCCCACAATGATGGGGTGAGCTCCCATTGCTCGGTCCCTGCTCCTGCCAACCTGGCAGTTCAAAAGCACGTCAAAGTGCAAGTAGATAGATAGGTACTGCTCCGGCGGGAAGGTAAACGGCGTTTCCATGCACTGCTCTGGTTCGCCAGAAGCGGCTTAGTCATGCTGGCCACATGACCCGGAAGCTGTACGCCGGCTCCCTCAGCCAATAAAGTGAGATGAGCACCGCAACCCCAGAGTTGGCCACGACTGGACCTAATGGCCAGGGGTCCCTTTACCTTTACTGCGTGCAAACCCAGCGGCGTTTGATTTGCCAGAATGATAGAAAAGGTTTTGGGAGAGGGTGATGAGAACGTGTGGTGGTACACAATACTTTTCCCCACTCGCAGCTTCTCTGCTCTGAATTGCACCTTTAGGAGCTATATTTCTCCCACCCACCTTGGGTTTCCGCTTGTGTTTGCTAGGGGGAGATGGGGGGGGGAGGCACCCAATGTGGAGCAGAGGTGTGGGGAAATACATAAGCCCCCTCTTCTCAAGTGGCGTAAAGGAACGCCTGGAGAATAGGCAAGTGATAGAGGAGACTGTCCTCACACCTTGTGCTGAGAGCCTTCCTCTCTGCTCAGCAGCAGTTAAGCCCTTCTTGGGAGTTCAGTTCTGAACATCACATTTCTAGCTGCCTGGACTTTCAGAGGTTGCCCCTTATACCAATCGATTGTGCTCCCTCTTCCATGTGACAGCCCTTGAGGCCTTAGAAGGTGGCTACCACATCTCCCCTCAGTCATCTCTAGCCTAAGCACACCCAACTGCCTCAACGGTTCCTCATCAGGCTTGGTTTCCAGACCCTTGGTCGCCCTCTGCACACCTTCCAGGACATTTCCACCTTAATGGCGAAGGGCTATGGATGGTTGGCAGAGCACAGGTTATTTCTCTAATTTATACCCCTCCCAAAGGAACCCACAGTATCTAGACAGATTGCTGGGAGACAAACACACACACCCCACACCCGTCTGAAATCCTGGACAGCCACTGCCAGTTAGTGCATGCCAGAGGTGCCCGAATTGTGCTCCGCAAATCGCAGCTTTGTGCTGGGGGTCCATGGTTGACTCTGAAGATTGACACACACAGAAGCGGCTTTGTTGCTCTACAGCTGTATGTGATTATCTTCTACCTCCAGCTCAGTGGTCTTGGAGAAGGCTGTGAGGAAGCTCCTTCTCTGAGCTGCTTGAAAGGAAGGGCTGTTTGGCTCCGAATCATGAGCACCAGAAGGCTCTTTGGAGTTTGCTGAGACACACACACACTTACGATACGATAATTTTATTGTCGTTGTCCCATACAGAACAATGAAATTGAAAAATCTACATCAGACATTCAAAAACCAACAAGCCTGCTTTCCCAGCTATCCCAACCTGGTTAGCCCCCTAAAAACTCTGATACCCCATTTTTAAATAAATAATTTGTCCTAACAAACCCTGACTCCCCTCCAGGGAGCACTCAGCCGCAGCGTCTGCACGCGCCGCCATCTTGGAGACCTGCATGCCAAGCCGATGGTCCATACGCCATGGAGACCCCTAGCCTGCCTGGAAGGATGTGGGGATGGTCTCCCTAGGGGAAGAAGGAGGTGAAAGGAAGATGCAGCCCAGCTGAGAGAGGAGCCTCCCCTCTGGGGAGGGGCCAGGCAGTGGCGTAGCATGGGGGGTGCAGGGGGGGGCCGGCCGCACCGGGCGCAACATCTGGGGGTTAGGGTTAGGGGGCGCAAATCCACGGGTTAGGGGGCGCAAATCCACAGGTTAGGGGGCGCAAATTACTTGCCTTGCCCCGGGTGCTGACAACCCACGCTACGCCACTGGGGCCAGGTGGGCCCAGGTCCAGGTGGGGGGTTGCCACGGTGACCAGGACCCACCCTCCTTTGTGACCTCACTTGCTTCTCTAAAAGCCAACCACTTGCAGGCAGCCACTATGGGTTAGCAGTGAGGCGAGGAGAGAGAGAGAGGAGTTGGTGGCGATTAGGAGAGGAGTTTGGTTTCTTGTTATTTTTCCGCTTTCTTATTTTGATTTTGATTTGATTTATGACTTTTATTTGATTCATTTGATTTAATTTATTTTGATTTGATTTATTATTATTATTTTACAATAATATTTTTTATTAAGTACAAATTAGAAAACATACATATTCGCAACAATACTATACAAAAGAAAAAGAAAATACATCTAACCAAGGGGGAAAAAAATAGAGAATATTTTGTCTCTTTTCATACTTACAGTTATTTATACCTCTATAAAATGCTATTCACAATAAAGCAGTGAAATGGAAGATAAGATATCAGAAAAATGAAAAAAAAGAACAAAGAAAGAACAAATAGTAAAAGAAAAAGATCATAGGTGAAAATTTTTAAAAGTAAATAAGTACTCACAATACATAGCCGTTTCCCATCTATATTGTATAAATTGTATACAATATAGTGTATACAATTGTATAAATTCATCTTGTCCTTATCTACTTTAAATAAAGTGGTTTTTTTTTAAAAAAAGACTTCCACCGTTTACCTCACGCGTTTTTAATAATCCATTGATTTATTATTTTACTCCTTTATTTTAACACTTTTTTATTTTACTTTTTCTTCTTTATTTTACTATTTTTATTTTTGTTTTTTTGTTTTTATTTAGTGCACATCTGTGCCTATTTTGTATATATTTCTTTTGTTTGTAGAGGAGTAGTTAGGGTTAGGTGTGTGCTTAGGGCTGGGGGTCGGGGTGAGAGTTAGGCTTGGGTGGGCATTTTAGAGAGGAGGGTGGGACTTTTTCGTGGAGGAAATTGGCAGGCTGTAAGTAGCATTCCTTCCTTTCTCTTCGTCTCCGGGGGGCGGGGGGGGGTGAGTCCTGGGGTCCCCTGCAGAGTCTTGGCTCTCTGGTCTTTATTCAATGAACTGTTGCAACAGGACTTCCAAGGGCCACATGGAAGAAGCAGAAAGAAACCCGTTCTACCCACAATGTCCTACGTGCATCACATCTGTGTCACAAACTAGGAGGGTTTTTCTGGCGGAAATCTGAGTCTCAGGTGTGCCCCTGTCCCTGCCTTGACCTCCACCTTCCACCCATTGACTAAATCAAAGGGAAATAGAGACATGTTCCTGTTTCCCAGCCCAGGTGAGTCCCCGCTCTTGTCCCGGCCAAGTCCCCAGTCCATGGAGGTTGGGTCCACTCTTGTCCTTGAGATGGCGACCCGTCTGGCCCTCAGAGACCAGGATGGCAGGGATTCTCACCCAGGCGGAAGGCTTGCTGTGGACGTGGTCTCCTGCTTCGGGGATCAGGGCTGCCCCATGCCATATCCCAAGCATAGCTGTTCCCCTTTCTTGCGAGGAATCCTATTTGGAATAAGGGAATTTCCCTTTTAATAAGGGAAGCGTTGACAGCTATGATCCCAAGTGCCTCCTCTGAGAGCCCTCTTCCTTCGGAGCAGAACAGCATTGGAACGGTGTCGATCCGAGGTTGGATTGCTTTTATAGGAATCTTTGAAGCTTTTCCCGCTGCAAGAGTAGGCAAGTGCTACAACCAGATACTAGGCAAACTTGAACAAGACACAAAAGACTTCTTCTTCTTCTTCCTCCTCCTCCTCCTCTCCTTCTCCTCCTTCTCCTTCTTCTTCTTCTTTTGTGATCCCTCATAGCTGAGGAAGATTGTCTTCCACACTGGGGACATAGGTTTCCGGGCGAGAGTTGATCCCGGTGAGGGTTTGCCAAGCATGCCTTCCTCTTAGCACGCTTCTCCCTTGCATCCTGAGTTCAAGTGTCTTCAAAGCCCATGACACCTTTGGAAAAGGCTCCAACCGGAGCTCTCACAGGCCAGTGTTTCCCAGCCATTGGTGTTTACACTACATGTTTTTAGATTGGCCTTGATAGAGTCTCTAAACCTCTTTTGTTGACCACGAGCATTATGCTTCCCATTTTCAAGTTCGGAATAAAGTAGTTGCTTTGGAAGATTAAAATCAGGCAATTGGGGCTGCAGACCTAAATCAGTGACCTGGGCTTACTCAGCCAGGGCACACTTTCAGCAGATCGAACTGCGCACACAGAATAGGTGAGAGGCTTGTGGAAGTATACTACAACTACAGATTTATTAATCATAAATCAGGGCAAAGAAACATGTCGTCTCTCTTACTTGTTGTCTCAGAGAGAACAGCAAAAGCAATAAACAATGGAAGTTCCCAGCAAGCTGTGCTGGAATGTAAACAGACATGTGACACGTAACACTCCCATGTCTGTTCCTTAAGGTGGAATGGAAATGTCAACATCAAGATGCAAAGAGTCAGACGGCTAGATCCGACCCAAGGTCCATCTGGGCCAGTGGCTAGAAATCCAACCCCTCCCCCAGTGACCACCCCGTTTTGTGGGGGCCAATGAAGGAAGCAGGGTGCTGGGCTGGGGGGCAGTTGTCAGCTGGAGGGGCACCTTCCCTGGGGAGCCACATTCTGGGGGAAGGAGGCCGGGATTGGCCCCCCAAGGCCTGGGGTGTCCCTCCCCTGTAGTAGGACTTGGAATCCAGGAGAAAACTCTTGGAATAGCCTTGCCAGGGGCTCAGGGATGGACTCACCTCTTCCCATGTCTTTTTCTTTGCAGTTCTGCTGCGGTTCCGCATCCGTGCCCCAGGGGTGAGTATTGGAGAAAACAAGAGCAGGGAGTGGATCCCTCAGACCTGCCCTCCCCCTCCCCATTGCCTGGGCTATTTTGCCCCCCACTCTGCCCTCTCGGATGCAGAGAAGCCCCCACCCCACCCGTCAAGGACTGACAGCCTGACTTTTGTATTTCAGCTGCTGGAGGATGGACAGCGGTACCTCCTGGGGGTGATCCAAGAGTGCCAGGCAGCTGAGCTCAGGGGGCTCCGAACCCTGAAGTGCTCCAAGCAGGAGACGGCCCAAGCCATTCTGGTGAGTGATGGGTGGTGTGAGGGACCCCCAGGGGGAGGGACGGGCTTTGGGGAAGGGGTTTTGCATCCCCCGGAGAGGAGGACTCTGCCGGCATAGGGCATAGGGTGTTAACGGAGAAATCTGAGGGCTCCCTTGGACAAAAAACAAGGACACCAGCCAGGAATACCAGAGCAAAACAGCAGCCAGTAGGCTTGGTCTTTATTGAAGACTGCCGCGACAGGACTCCCACCTGCCACCAGGTGGAACAAGATGGAAGCCCCGAACAAAAGAGCCCCCAAACTTTTATTAGCTGCAAATCCCCATGTTACACCCCCTCAAAAAAACTACATCACTCATACATCATGGTTACATCATGAAAGGGGAGGTCTGGTGGCAGTAATCTGAGCATCCTGGACCCTGCCCCATGGTTCCCCTTGCCCTCCACCAAACACCCGTCAAGTGGAACAAAAAAGATCTTTACATTTCCCTGTTTCCCAGCCTAGTTAATCACACCCTTTTGTCTTCATCTGGGTTTGTTAGTTCAGGAATGGCTACCTGTCTGGCACTCAGGTATCAAGAGGCCAGGGATTATCACTCAGGCAGAGGGGCTGCTGAGGAGCTGAGCTCACTTGTCTATATGAATTTCTGACGTTTTCCCAGTGAACCAGTATATAGATACATTTATCAGTGAATTCTTACATTTGGTATCGTGCAGCAAAGGCCCTTTGAGTAGATAGGAAGAAACTGTGTTTTGTGGGGACAAATCACAAAAGTGATTGTGCTGATTTTGATAGCGGGCTGCATGTACATGATATCTGCTGGTGGGGCAACCCCCCCCCCAACCTATACATAAATTCCTGCAACAAGGGCAGGAAAGCCAAGCCTGGCCTTGGGGGTCGAGGCCGTCCTCTGGAGGCCCCCTGAAAGAGCTGAACTTCCTCCTCTGTTCTCTTCCAGGGCATCTTTGGCCACCTGGAGCGCTTCAGGGATCACCCCCTGAGCCTGGCTCTGGACTTGGAGGCCCTCATCCAGCTGAGGTGAGTGGGGTCCTTGGGATGGATGGGGTTGTGGGGGGTGGGGGGCAGAACTCCAGGGGGAGCTCAGGGTGGGGAAGAGCAGGCAGGAGGGAGAAGGGGGCAAGGGAGACTGGGAGGGGGCAGCGTTTAACTCCTTTCCTTCATCTCTGCAGCATCATGAGATGATCAGTGCCATCCTCCACGGGACCCGGGAGGCTGTTATTGGGGGCCCACAATAGGAGGACAGAGAGGTATGTCCTTGGTCTGGACTTCTCTTCGCACAGCTTTCCTCTTCACACATATGCAGAATCTAACCCAGCACTCAACTTCTTTTCTCTCTTTTCCCGCAGGAACTGAAGCGGCACTTCCGGCTCCTGCTGGGGAGTCTCCTGATGGAAGCCCCCAATCATGGCACCCTCCTCCAGCTGCTCAGTGTAAGTGTCCCCCCAACTTGCTCGGGGTTCAGGCCCTTGAGCCTGCCCTGCTGCTTTGGCCCCAACTCTTTCCTCCCGCAGGACCTCCGAGGATACGCCCTTGGCGAAACTGGGGAGGCTCAAACACTTGCGGCTGGCAGCATTTCTCTGCTTCTGGCCGTGGCGTGGAGATTCCCCCAACTCAGAGTAAGTACCTCGCCTTCTTCTTTTCATTTCTCTGGTTGCTTCCATCCCCGCAAGAGCACATCCCCCAGCGACCTTTATCGCAGATGATGCGCTGTGTGTCCCTGGGGGCCAGGATGAGGCCAGAGGCTTTTCCTGCCCCCTTTCCTGCTGCTGCTGCCCGGGGAGGTCCTCTGGGACAAGGGATTGGGCCCATGGCAGAGGGAGGCCCGTCCTCCCTGGCTTGGGGCTGCTTCTGTGCTCTCTTGCACCCATTCAGGGTGGATTTCGTAGTATCATCTGACCCGGATTTTTCTTTGCAGGTGACAGTAATTCGGCCAGACCTGGCCTGCTTCTGGCAGTGACCCAAAGAAGGTAAGCCCCACACCTTGGAGACGGAGAACTCCCTTGTCCCTTGTTTGCTTGAAGGTCCCTGCCTCCCAGGTTTTCTTGCTGGGAGTCCTGCAGGACCTGCTCCCACCTGGCCGGGGAGGGCAGCGCCCGGACTGACTCTCATTTCCATTCTCTTCCATCCAGATGACATCATCCTTGAAGACTTGTAGTCAGGGCAGACCTCTTGCAGAAGGTGTTACAGAAAAATCTAGGTGCGAGGCTGCTCAGTCGCCCAGCTGGTCGGGCAGAGCCGGCGGTTCCTTGCGGAATAAAGGAAGGAGTCCAGCCAACCGGAGCAAATAGCTGTAGACCAGAGTTTATTGCGCAACAGGCTCAAAGAGGAATTTTTGAACCCCGAGGATGGGGTGACAATGACTTCTTATATATATATATATTTATCAAGAATTTCAACACAATAATTTTAACAAAAATACATCATCCACATTGTCCCCCCCCCATTTATATTATATGCACCTTTCAACAATTTTACTTTCCCTTCTATCACTTATTTTTGAAACCTAGATGTCATGTAGCTTAATCTTTTCTTATTATCTTCTTTGTATGTTTCGTATAATTGTCGATAGTGTAACCAACTCTGAAAATGGTCTTTTATCTCTTCATAGTCTTTTAATTTCCGTTTTCCGTCTTGATCCTTTAACAGATCTGGGTGACAATGACTTTTAAAACTTTCCCACCATATCCCAGAATACAGTTCGTACAGCATCACTGATACATCACTGACATGTCACAAAAGGGGAGGGGTAGACAGGGGTTCCACTAGTTTAACCTTGGCAAACATACCCAGGTTTGGTCCTTGGTACAAGATTAGCATAAGCAGACATGGCAGGGCAAGACTCAGGTATAAGATGAGCCTAAGCAAACACCTCTGAAGTCCCAGCACCCAAAGTACAATAGAACTTCCTTTGCATGTCTGGACCCCTTGGCAAGTCTGGTGATGGGGTTAGGCTTTCCTTGGCCAACAATCAGCTCAGCAATTGTCATCTCTGGGCACTTCCTGGGGTAGGAGGTGTGTATACATGTCTTCACGCTTGGGGAGGTGGCAGAGAAAAGAGTCCTTTTTCCAAGGGCAAAATAGTGCTGAAATGGAGGAAAGTGGCAAAGGAGTTGACTTTATATGATTTTTAAAGCTAGAGACGTGGGTGGCGCTGTGGGTTAAACCACAGAGCCTAGGACTTGCTGATCAGAAGGTTGGTGGTTCGAATCCCCGTGACGGGGTGATCTCCCGTTGTTCAGTCCCTGCTCCTGCCAACCTAGCAGTTCGAAAGTACGTCAAAGTGCAAGTAGATAAATAGGTACCGCTCCTGCGGGAAGGTAAACGGCGTTTCCATGCGCTGCTCTGGTTCGCCAGAAGTGGCTTAGTCCTGCTGGCCACATGACCCGGAAGCTGTACGCCGGCTCCCTCAGCCAGTAAAGCGAGATGAGCGCCGCAACCCCAGAGTCGGCCACGACTGGACCTGATGGTCAGGGGTCCTTTACCTTTAACTTCCCTGAGCTATCAAGTCGAAAGGATATATTTATGCATAATATTTGTAACATTTAACAACTTCAAAGATGTGCCCCCCGCCCCCCCCGTAACACAGGAAAGTCTCACTTCCCATGAAAGATTTCAGAAGGGGAGAAACCATATTGGTGCTTGGAATGCGGGAAGAGATTTCCTCCAGGCTCACACTTCCACCAACACCAGAGAATTCACAGAGGGAAGAAACATTTTCAGCGTCAAGAGGGTGAGCAGAACTTCAAGAATGTGGAAAGAGCTTCAGGCACAAGAAAGACCTCACTTGGAGGTGTTTCCGGAGAGCGGTGGCTGGCTAAAGATGTCTTTTGCTGACCTCTGTCCTCCAGCTGTTTTGGGACTACAACTCCCATCATCCCTGAGCACTGGTCCTGTTCGCTAGGGATGATGGGAGTTGTAGTCCCCAAAGAGCTGGAGGGCCGGGTTGGCCTATGCCTGCCCTTGATCAAGAACTCAATTGTCTGGCAAGGCGCCTGCGCCGCCACAGCGCCCTCTGCCGGGCCGCCCGCCGCGCGGCAGAGCGCCGAAGGTCACGCGTTTCCTTGGCGACGGCGCAATGGCGCGCTTGGGGTCGAGGGGCGGGGCCTGGCGAGAGCGACGGAGGAGGAGGCGGCAAGATGGCGGCGCCCGGGGACGGTGAGGGGGCGCGGGGCGGGACGGGGGGGGGCTCAGACTAGAGCCAAGGCGCTGGTCCTCGGGGCGGAGGGAGGGGCTGCGCTGGGCGGGCGCCGCTTCGGGGAGAGACGGGCGGCGGAGAGAGAGGCTCCGTTGCAGCCGGGGAAGGAGAGGGAGGAGGAGGAGCCCGGCCTCGCAGGTGCGCCACTTATTCTGCTTCTTCCTTCTCCTCCTCCTCCTCCTCCTTTTCTGCTTCCTCTGCTTCTTCTTTCTTCTTCTTCTCCACCTTCTCCTGCTTCTCCTGCTTCTGCTTCTTCTTTTCTCTTCTTCTCCTTCTTCCTCTTCTCCTTTTGCTTCTTCTTTTTCTTCCTTTTTCTTCTTCTCCTGCTTCTGCTGCTTCTTTTCTCTTCTGCTTCTTCCTCCTCCTCCTCCTCCTCCTCCTTTTCTGCTTCCTCTGCTTCTTTCTTCTTCTTCTTCTTCTTCTCCTCCTTCTTCTTCTCCACCTTCTCCTACTTCTTCTTTTCTCTTCTTCTCCGTCTCCTTCTTCCTCTTCTCCTTTTGCTTCTTCTTTTTCTTCTTCTCCTCCTTTTGCTGCTTCTTTTCTCTTCTGCTTCTTCCTCCTCCTCCTCCTCTCTGCGCTCCTCCCTGCCGCCATTCCTCCTCTGCCCACTGCTGGGGCTGCTCACCTAGAGAAATCAACTCCAAGAGGAAAGGGCAGTAGCATGAAAACACCCCACCTACCCAATCCCCCCTCTCCTTGCTTTCAATGCCTCTGCGGCGGCAGCACTGGCCTGGCTGGTGAGCCGTACATCCGAAGTTGCTTTGGCTTGTCCTGGGCAAGATGAGGCCACAGACCAATCCAGAGAGTAGTGAAGAGAAGGTTCTAAGTCGGAGCCTAGGAAGCTGGCCTTCCGGGGGCCCTTATCCCCACCCAGCCCTCCCTGGGGTCAAAGCCGGGGCCTCCTGCGCACCCGCTCTTCCCACTGGGCTGCAGCGAAGCCCCTTGTGCACATTGCCCTCCTGTCGTGGCAGAAGGCGCTTGGCTGCCCTTTGTGGCGCAGGAGGCTGCGTGGCGGCTCTTGGTAGAGATGTGCCCAGGCAGTCAAATCCTGTGTGGTGCTGCTTTGTAGAATACAGTCCTGTGATGCCACTGTTTTGTTCAGTTTCTGTGCAGGAGGCTACGCTCTCTTCTGTATAGCTCCCAAACTTTCATATATGTAAAATAAAAAAACACTTAGCCCTGCAAATAAACAGATAAATAGCCTAACTGAAGGGACTGCCTAAGCAGCTTTGTATTTCAGCAGGAGAAATAGATGAGGCCCTGGTGACATTTTCTTCACCTTCCCGTTGCACCTCAGTGCCTCTGATGTCATTGGCAGAACGAGTTGACCTAACTGGGCCTTCTCCTGGCTCTGTGTGGTTTTTTGTTAACCAGATCCAACTGCTTTGTGTAAACCAAAACTCTTTGTAAGCCAAGTTTGTAGAACACACTGAAAAATATAGATGTGAAGCTTGACTCTAAAAATACATTTAAAAAAAAAACAATGGGAAACACAATGGACTCCATTTTAAAAAATCCCACACAATGTGCCTTTTCCATTGCTACTGGTACAGCATCTTTATTCTCTTTGGTGGGTTAAAAATATTGAATTTGTCACCTTCTAGCTCTCATAAGAAGATCCCTTTACACACCAAAACAGAACCACCAATCGGGAGAACTGACTTGGCTTCACCCTTTTCTTTCACTCTAGGTCCTTCGGTCTGAGACAAACCTTGGTCACTCTTGACCCCGGTGTAAGAGCAGCAGAAACTTGAACTCTTTCCCTGGCAGGAATCCCTAGGGAAAGCTCTCCAAGGCAGACGTTCAGGAAGAGAGTGCACGATGGCCCTGGAAACTGTGAAGGAGCTCTTGAGCTTTGACTGCGGCTTGCTGGTGGCTTACCAGGTGTACAAAAGCTCCCAGCTGGAGTCCATCAGCTTTCAGACCAGCCAAATGAGGGACGTCTTCTTACAGCACCCTGAGGTTGTGCTCATTCATCGAACCCACAACCCGTGGGGCAAGGCCCTCTACACCTTCATGGTGGACCAGCCTTTCATGCAGCTGGAAGGGGAGGTGACCAAGGTGATCCACTTCGCCGTCCCCACCAGGGAGTCGGCGGAAGGCCTGGCTCAAATGTACCGCACCTTCAAGGCCTTCAACCCCGAATGGAAGCGGATCAAGACCTTCCTGGTTGACCCGCGCTTCCGGTGGCTGCCGGCGCTGTCGGAAGCGTTCCCCTCTGTGGACGTCCAGCTGTCCGTCTTCCACATATGCAAACACTTGCAGCACAAGATCCAGCAGGTCTCCCTGGAAGCCCACACGGAAAGGCTGGTTCTGAGCGCCTTGAGGAACGGCATGTGTGCCCCCAGCGAGAGCAACTTGAGGAAGCTGTACACCGTCCTGTGTGGCTTTGTGAAGCCCAACCGCTTGCCCCAGCTCCACAAAGAATGGCTGCTCAACGAGAAGATCTGGGCCTTTCACCGCTGGCGGACCTGGGGCCAGTGCAGCCAGTATTTCAAAGATCTGGAGATGCTCACACACAGCTTAAGCCAGATCTTCTGCATAGGACCATCCCTGGAGACCTGCATCACCAAAATAGCAAAGACTTACCAGAAGGTTGTCCAGAAGAGCTCCGCGGAGTCTGCGCCAGGCCCAGGCCCTTTGCTCGGGGAGAACGGCTCCTCCATCCAGAACCTGCTGGTGCTTCGCTCCTCTGCTGCAAACTCTCAGAGGTTTCTGCTTCCAAGGGATTCTGCTCCGACCGCCGCGCCGACTCCCCTGAAGCCGGCGGCAGGGGTTGCTGCTGAAGAGTCAGCTCGCGAGGAGGAGGCAGAGGTGACTTCCAGAGAGGCTGAGGAGCGGATCAAGCAGTCCTTGAGCGACATCTGCACAGAGCCGGCGGCCAGGCTGTGCTTGAACGAGTTTGCGGTTGTCCAGAGCTCTGCGCAGTTGATGGGAAACAACGGAGAGGTTGCCAGCGTACAGATCCTGGAAGACGCCCAGGCCGTGCGCCACAAGGGCCTCAGCAGCTGCACCTGCCACTTCAGCCAGACCTTCCAGCTGCCCTGCCGGCACGTCCTGGCTGTGCTGAACTCCGAAGGGAAGGCTTTCGAGCCCGGCAGGATCCCAGCGCGGTGGCGCAAGGGAAACAGCACATCCCAAGAGGGACAGAGCAGTTCTGATGGGCTGCTGGAGGTCCTGAGTTGCTCGTGGGACAAGTTGTTGGACAAGTACCTGGCTGTGTCGTTTCTCACTGCGGAGATCAGCCGGCTTCTGAGCCAGTGCAGTCACGAGGAGTTTGATCGCAGGTACAGCACCCTCCGCGAGCTGGCCGACAGCTGGATTGGGCCTTACGTGCAGGTGAAGTTGTAATTAGGCTCAGGGGCACTACTGGGAGCAGACCCTTGGGCTCGCTGGTCTGGGGGAGCAGCCTCCTCTAGCAGGGCTCTCCTCAGAAGTGCCGGAGACTTGAGGTTAACATTTCATTCATCTCCGAGTGTCTGTGGGGCTCCTCCTTTGTGGAGGGAGCTTTGATGAGCAGCTCAAGACTCTGTACACAACTGCAAACCTGTGCTCTTGTCTGAGACTTTGCCGGCAACTCAGTGGCGGCTCAGGGGTGCCTGACATGACCTACGGTCCCCGTGAAGCCCACCCCCTCGTCTCTCTGCATTACTATTCCCCTAAGTCAGTTGGTTTTAACCCCGCCAGCATGTCTGGTTCTCCATGTCAAAGGGGACCAGGTGTGTCCCCCCAAGTCCTTTTTTCCTATCCCTCCCCCCCCTTGATTATTGAAATGGGGCCCCCTGCACCCAGCGAGAGCAGGACTTCTCTTTCGTAAATGTCGTCAATAAACAAGTCTTTCCTGTTTGTCGTTTCTCAACATCAGCCTTTAAATACCAGTCAAAATCTCATTAGGAAACAGGGCAGGGCTTCTCTGCTGTCTCTGCCAGGCAGCTGGTACTGGGCTCAGTGGAAGCGCTCTGTGGGCGTTGTGCCAGACTGGAAACACTGGTGACACGAGGGGAGAGGGACAAGAGCTCCAGGAAGCAGCTGCCATTTGGGCTGTTCTGTGGAGAGCTGGGTTATCCCTTCCACTTGGTCCCAAGGAGCCTGGCTGGGTAACCCCTGTGGTGGTGTGGGAATGGGAATGAAGGGCTGCCTGGGGTCCAATCCAGACAGCTCTTTGGATCAGAGGATCTGGCCAACAACCTGCTTACAGAAGCAGAAGCACGGACATAAGCAAAGAGCCTTGCTTTTCACAAACCCTTTATGTTGGCTTTTCAAAGCAGAATTCAGCGTTTCTTCCCCCCTGCTCTCACTTCTCCAGCTGCGCCAGGAACAGGGGCAGGAGGCTCCTGTGGGCGGCCCTCTTCCTCTGCTTGTCCCCCCTCTTGCAGGAAGGCCCCAGGCGCTGCATGGCAGCCCACCTCCTCCTCCTCCTCTGTGCTGCCTCCCCCTGCGCGTTGCCAGGCTCCAGGTTCTCCGCCACAAAGCACTGGGCAGCGTGGACCATGTCTTCCTCCCGCACGCCCGGCACGGGGACCGTGGGAATGCCAGCGATCATCATGGCCAGGGTCAGGATGCAGATGTTGGGGGGCAGGTGCAGCGGGGGCTGGGCCTCTCTGTCCTTGCCAAACTTGGCTGACATCAGGAAGACCCCGCTGGGCAAGAATCCCCACCTGGCCAGCGCAAAGTCTCCGCCGGAGCTGGCAAAGTCCTTGGGGGGTTGGCTGAGAGGAAGGGGCGGCGGCACAGAGGAGAGGAAGAGCCACCGGTCGCCCGTCTGCTCGGCAGGATATTCCCGGTCCGGTCCCTGAGGGCACAGCTTCCTGCAGCAGAGGCCTCGGTGTGGCTCCCACCTTTCTGGCGTCCCTTGCCCAGGTGTGCCCGGTGACCAGCAGGCTCCTCCACAAGGCGGCTTGGCGTCCGGATCCTGGAGCAGCTGGGGGCCGCTGAGCTGGTGCGGAGCCCCCTCCTTGGCTTGCAGCTTCCTCCTCAGGAGCCCGATGGCAGAGGAGAGCCCCCCCGAAGCCGGGGCCTCCCTTGGCATCCCAGGGTAGAGGCTCGACGGGCCACTCGGTGCCATTTCAACCTCCCTGCTGCCCGATTCTCCTGTCCAAAATAAAGGTGTGTGTGTTTGGGGGGCACCAACTGGAGTGTCTGGGGCAGAGGTGGATTGGCGGGGAGGGTGTGTGAGGAGGACAACCTGGGGGCTCTTGTTCTCAGGCTAAATTGAAGGCGGGGTGAATTGAGGGTGCTAAATTCCTCCCATGCCCTCGATACCAGTTTCCATGGCCCACACATTCACTTGCCTCCTGGTGCTGAGTAATCTCTTTCCCAAGAGGAAGATAAACTGGAGCGAGAGTCGAGCCGCAGCTGTAATTTTCATTCCATGGGTTCCCGGCTTCCCACTCCGCCCCAGAAGCAACCAGAGAGCTTAGGAGATGGTTCCGTGTGGCCCATATCAGCTGCCCCCCCCCCGGCCTGCCTCTTCCTCGGGCCTCATCCTGTAGCGCTGGGGCCTCTTCTCTGGCCTTGTCAAAGAGGGGTTTGGCAATGGAATGGACCACCTCAGAAGGTGCTGGACTCTTGTCCATTGGAGCTTTTTCATCCCTGGCCATCTGCCAGGGATTATTGGGCTGTGATTCCTGCATTGCCGGTGGGGGTGGACCAGATGACCGTTGGGGGTCCCACTTCTGTGCGTCTAAGAAGACAGCCACCCATCTCTGGGGTGGCATGAAGAGCTCCCTCCACACACCAATTCAGCGGGTTGGGGGGGGGAGGAAAATGTGTGGGGCTGCACAGAGGGGGGCATTGTCTGCACAAAACGCCTCGGGGGACGAAAGGGGAGCCGTTACCTGGACTTGGAGATGGAAAGAAGCCTGCGGAAGGTTTCCCCATCCCATAATAGGACATGGTGTCCGCTGAGAGCTGGCCTGTGTCTGCCTCAGTGCTGTGCCTGTCCTGAACTCTCCCCATTCTAGAACCAGCGTCACAGGGCTCGGCCCTTACCTCACACAGAGCCCCTGGGCAGCCTTGCCCCTCGGCTGCTCCAAGGAGTTGGGGCCACTTGGCTCAATGGGGGGGGGATCTGGTGAAGCCAGCAGGTTGCTAAGCCTCTTCCGGCCCCCAGCATTTGCCCCCCCCCATAAGTACATCAGGAGAGCCTCCTGGATCAGGCCCAGGGCCCATCGAGCCCAGCCTCCTGTTCTCACAGCAGCCAACCAGATGCCCATTATGGGAATCCCAGAAGCAGGATCCGAGCAGAAGAGCGACTCTCCCCCCTTGCGATTTCCAGCAGCTGGCAGTCAGAAGCAATGCTGCCTCCTGTGGGAGCGAGTTCCATAGGTTATGTACTATCCCCAGATGTGGGTCCCCAGATGTTGTCGAACTACAACTCCCATCACCCCTAGCTAGCAAGGCCAGAGCTCAGGGATGATGGGAGTTGTAGTCCAAGAACATCTGGGGGCCCACAGGTGGAGAACCACTGCAAAAGTCCCAAACACTGCAGCCATTCTCCACCCCCTTGATCGTTTCATTGCCATTTACGCTGCCATTTATGTACTGCAGTATCGGGGCAATAAAACCGAGCCTCCCTCGCTTGGGAGCCCTCTGCTGCATAACCAGGAGGGAAAGGGAGCTGAGGCTGCAGGAAAGGGACACTCCCAGGACTTGTTGCTGTTCTAAGGCAGCTTTTATTGAACTGGCATGACTTCCATAAAGCCTAGTGTGCGATGCGCCCCCCCTTTCCCCATAGCAGCAACACCTTCTGGGCCTCGGAGGTCTACATTTGAGAGCCAGTGTGGTATAGTGGTTAAGAGTGATAGACTCGTAATCTGGGGAACCGGGTTTGCGTCTCCGCTCCTCCACATGCAGCTGCTGGGTGACATTGGGCCAGTCACACTTCTCTGAAGTCTCTCAGCCCCACTCACCTCACAGGGTGTTTGTTGTGGGGGAGGAAGGGAAAGGAGAATGTTAGCCGCTTTGAGACTCCTTAAAGGGAGTGAAAGGCGGGATATCAAATCCAAACTCCTCCTCTTCTTCTTCTACCTAGTGCGTTTCTTCCATAAACACACTAATGTGATGTCGGGTCAGAACAACAGCGGGCTGCTGGGGAACCCACAAAAGTGGAGCCCGTGGCCCTACAAACTTCACACGCTTGCGTAGAGCTGCTCCCTCGCCTTAGCTTTACACGTGTGTAGAAGTTAAGTCACCTTCTCGGAGGGAAAGCATGCCTTTGTTCTGAGAGCTGGATCAGCGAGAAAAATAGGGCACTTCCTCGCTTACCAAACTCGCTCAAGGCTGAATTTTTCCTGCAGAAACATTCTTGGCATGTTCCGAGTAAGCAGATTCCCCTAGTGATCTTTTTAAAAAAATCTCTTCGCGTGTAGGCTGTCTGTCGGAACATATTCTGTAGTTCCCAGTACACCTAGAAACAGGGCAGTTGGCCGGTGCTTCCAGTTCACTGCTACATCTTGCCATCTGAAAATCAAATCCTCCCTTGACTGTTCCTGCTATTTCAGGGTCCTGCTGTTGTTTGGAGGGCTGGGGCTGGGGGTCTTGCCCCTTCAGTGAGTCTCTCGCCATATACGTGGCTGCCCCAGTGGCTATGTGGGAAATGAGGCCCCTAAGGCTGGCATTCTGGGGACAGAGCAAGGACGAAGCGCGGCTTCACTGCTCTCGGCTCGTTCTTGCGGACCCTCCGTCAAGTCTCTCGGGTGGGCGACTCGTGCAGGCGAAGAAGCAGCCCTGGTCACTTCACTCGTATTTGCAGAAGTTCTTCAGCAATGGAGGGAGGTCGAGCCCATCGATGTCTAGCCGGTGGGCAATGTGCTTCTGGATGGCCAGCCGGCAGAGGGTCTGCAGGGAGGGGACTGGGAGGAAAAGAAGAGAAAGAAGGGGACTTGGCTGTGAGACAACCTCAGCATGAGGATTGGGACCCGTTCCTCTTGTCCGGAGAGAGCACCCACCCCAGCCCTAGCAAGACCAGAAACCTTCTGTAGGTAAGAGCTGTTCAGCTGTGGAACGGATGACCTCAGAAGGTGATGGAGGTATTTAAAGCGGGTTGGGTAGCCATCTGTTGGGGATCCTTTAGCTGCGATTCTTGCCTTGCCAGGGGCCCAATCCAACTCTACAATTCGATGACACTGACCAATGAGCTCCCTCAATGCCTGAACAGCTCAAGGGAACACAGTGGCTGTTGCGAGAGCCCTTAGAAGTACTCCTAGGCTGGGGCATTAGGCAGGAGGCAGCACCCCTACAGCTCTGGAGAGACCTTCCAGCTGAGGCTCAGTGAGAGTGACATGTTTCCTCCTTGCACATGAGGAGGAAGGAGCACCATCAAGAGCCTGGCTGCCTTGCCAGCTCCCACTGAGGGCAGAGGAGCAGCTGCTGGGCCTGGGCTGCTGCAATGCCGTTGTTTGGAAAGGCAGGTAGTTCAGCCTGGCAACACATCTTAATGAGTGCGCCCCAGTTTGCTCTCCTGGCAAGACCTTCCCCTGCGAGTCTCCATCTGCAAATCCCCCAGAGCCAAGTGACCCAAGAGGGAACGGAAGCCCCCTTTTGACTGCGCCCTTGCTGGAGACTGTTCCTCTTCCTGTCTGCCTGTTTGTAATGAGCTTTCCTGCCTCGGTGGTTCGCCTGGCCTTTCGCCCAACAGATTCACCCGGGCAGCATTTTCGGGCCTCGTTCTTGCAGCAGATTCCTGTCCTAAAGCTCTTGCTTGGGCTCCTTCAGTGCCCCGCACCCCTGGTGCTTATGGTTAAGACGGCCCTGGGCTTGTGAATGTTTTTGTTGAGATGAAGGCTTAAGCCCATGGAGGGGTGGCACCACGCCACTTTGGCATGGGGAACCAACTTCCCCCTTCATTCCTCACCCACTTTGCCAGTATGCACATGCCAAAGACAAGCTGCGCTCACACCTTGGGTGAAAACCTCCCTTTGGCTCCCTGTCAGAGGCAGCATCTCTCTTCACCTCCTGGTGCTTCCAGACATAACTTCCATGTTCCTAACACAACAACCGGGCTTGTTTTGCCAACGCCGCTGCCTCCCTTTCAACGCCCTAAAGGCTCCTGAAGACTGAAAAACACCAAGCGGCCTGTCACTCTGCTAATACACTTGGACTGCTTTTGAAGTGCGAGGGGAGTCCTCCAGCAATGCAAGACTCTGTGGTTTGGTTACCATAAGGTCTGCTGTATCAGTTGTGACACGAAGGCTGGCAACATCAACCCCAGTGTGTGGGAATCCTTTGCAGGTGCCCGCGGTGCCCGGAGGCAGACATTCACAGCAGGAAGCAGGGGAGAAGCGCAGAAAGGGAAAAAACGCCCTGGTGCATCTGTAGCAGCACAACCTGACACCTTCCTTTGCCCCAGCTGCAACAAAACATGTCTCTCCCATATTGGTCTCTGCAGCCACAGAAGCCTTCTTGTTTGGACAGGTCTCATCCAGAGGTGGGGGCCTGAACTGAGGTGGGGCATCAACCCTGCCTTGGGCTTAATGCTTCTTGCATGCCTTTCCCAGGTTACCAGGAAGCAGAGGGGGGAGGAATTTGCATGCAGGCCAAAGAGGAAATTGGCACACCTCTCCAAGGAGGTTCCTTCACAGCCTGACATCCCAGACACACACACACACACACACACACACACACACACACACACACAAAAGGCCTTTGCGGAACTAGACCCAGTTCTCAGCGTGTTTTGGTGAAACTCCTTGCCAAAGAATGCGGTGGAAGTCTTTTATAATATTTTAACTAGGTTTATATATTGTAATGTTTGAAGTATGAATTTGGAATAATTGATTATGAAAAGTACCGGTATTCCCCCCCCCCTTCATTCTTTTTCTTGTTTCTTTCCTTTATCTTTTGTCTTTCTTCTTTTCTAGTCTGCATTCTGGAAAATTGTGTAGATGAATGTTTTACTGTATGGTTATGTATTGTTTCTGTTTCTTTTTTTCCTTTTCCTTTTTTGGGTAACATTTAACAAAATTTAATAATAATAATAATAAGGAAGCTGCGCTGCATCAGAACATTGTTGCTAAGAGGCATCCGATATTTAACTTGAGAAATTGATGCTCGGAAATGCATACT